ACACCACAAGCCCTGCTGTGGACGCTAATGCCACTGAGAGCAGATTCTAAGCCTGTCTCAGAGTTCACTGGCCTGTCGTTCATACTAGTAATAAGGAACTCATGACTGCATGAACCAGTAATCCTTGGTGTTAAGCACTCAATGGCCCTGTGAGGTGGAAAAATCATTCTGATATGTGTAGATCAGAATAGTATTGTAATGGGAACAATCAGTATTCTGGTTCTGTTCAATATCCCCTCTCTTCTGAGACCTGAAAGAAGTCCAGATAATTAAATTTTGTGCAGGGAGTAGAGGTCAGGGTCCATCAACTTTAAGTTTTTTCTTTTTTTCTGAAAATTATGAACAGACAGCTTTAAGTTTTTTTTTATTTTACCAATTTCTTTTTTTTCAAAGTTTATTAAATTATGAAAGTTTCCATTTCCGCCCCTCCTCCCAACACCCTCCCACTCCCCCCTCCCCCTCCTCCTCCCTCTCCATCCCTAAGAGCAGTCAGGGCTTCCAACCCTGTGGGAAGTTCAAGTTTCTCCCCCCTCCTTCCAGGTCCCGGAAGGTGAGTATCCGAACAGACTGGATCCCAAAAATCCAGTATATGCAGAGGAAACAAGTCCCAGTGTCATTGTCAGTGGCTTTTCAGAAAGGCTCCCGGCCAGCCACATTCAGAGAATCCGGCCACATTCAGAAAATCTGGTTGGATCACATGCTCGTTCAGTCCCAGTCCAACTGGCCTTGGTGAACTCTCATTAGATCCGTCCCCTTGTATCAGTGGGTGCTCGCACCCTTTAAGTTTTGATGCTTTCTTAGCGCTGAACATCAGTCCACTGGGCACCTTTGTGGCTTAGGGCAAATGTAGTCTGCTGAAAGCTGGGGAAAGAAAGTGTCTCTGTCAAGGCTGTGACATGGTATTGTCATCCTCTAAATGTCTGTGGGGAGGTAACTCCTGGGCATGTGAGACACCAGGCCTGCCTCCTCACGACGTCACAAAACCCTCTGGGTTTCTGGCAGGCTGGCCCATATCATCCTTGTTGCCTGAGGAGATGAGAGAATGTATTTGTAAAACAGACTGGCAAGGCACCGTGGGTAAGGACACTCTGGTGTCTTCTCACCAAAGCAGGACTTTGTCCTTGGCTATGAATGACAAAAACTGGCTGGGGGCTCTTTTCTGGAGAAGGCATTGCTTCTAAATCTGTGCTTTTCACTGACGGATATTCCACCAAGAGTAACTGTCGCCCGTTCCCATGGCGAGCCCTTTCCAGGATGTGTCCACACTCTTTTCATCTTGCCCTTTGGAGAGGCTCATTTTCTCCCTTCACAGTGAGCTCTCCTTGGGGGATCCACCCTCTCGATTAGTGCAGTGTACATCTCTGTTACTTATTTTCTTCCATATCTTCCTTCCTAATGGGCTTACTTTGTTCCCGGATGTCCTTAACTCTCTGCCTGCTGGAACAAACCTTGACATCTGTGTGTGTGTGTGTGTGTGTGTGTGTGTGTGTGTGTGTGTGTGTATGTGTGTGTGTGTGTGTGTGTGTGTGTGTGATGCACTCCCCTGCCCCAAAGTCTGCAATAAGCCTGATACCTCCTCAGTGTGGAATATTTTCAGAATCACTGCATGATATAGGGTCACATTGCTTTTCTTCCCCTAACTGCCCAAAGAAGGTTCAAGAATAATCCATCAGAATGAAACAGTCAGTGGTCCCTTCCAGGAGAGATCACAAAAAGATGAATCAGGAAAAACTGTCTCCAGGCAGAAAATGTCCCTCAGCCCCATCTCTGTCCTCCATAGAACTTCACCATAGATGGGGATGTTATCAGGGCTATCTGTCAAGAGGCTCAGGGTTAGAGCATTTTCCTGCCATGCCTGGTTACTACCCGGTACAAAAAAAAAAAAAAAAAAAAAAAAACCAACTTGAGGAAGGGTTATTGGCACTGGAGATGGCCAAAAGACCCAAGGTTGGAGGAGGAACAGGGGGCCATGGCCAGAAGTCCCTGGGAGTTTTATCGAGCTAGACTAGAAAGGCCAGGATGCCAAGGCTTTGGAGTAAAGGTGACCTCTGTGAAGTGTGTGAGTGACCCCTCGGGGTCAGCAACTTTATTAAAATCTTACCTGGTATCTCAGAGGACAGTAAGGTTTTGTGGTTCCAACAGAGGCACCCTAAGGAATTGATGCCTGCAGGTCAGAGGACAACCTTGAGTCTTGGTCCTTACTTGCCTCCTTGTCTGAAACAGGATCACTTGGCTTTCTACTGAGCACAGGCTACCTGGCCCACAGGCTCCTGGGGATTCTCTTGTCCCTGCCTCCCTTCTTATCATGGGAGTGCTGGGACTAAAGGCACACACTACTGCTTCATATAGATTCTGGGGATCTGAGGTCCTCCCGCTTGTATTGTGAGCTCTTTACCAACCAAGCCATCTCTGCAACACTCTGTCTCTTCTTCATCACCAAACCCTCCCCCTCAACTTTTCCTGGAGTCATTTCTAACTGACTTGGACACTCTGCTCTCTTCTGGAGGGAGCTGGTCACAGTGTGTCACCACAGTACCTATGTATGTCAAAAAATGAACTGTAGGTCCCAGCATCCTCAGGGAGGGGTGCTCTCAAAAGGAAGAAAAGGCCTGCACTGGTCCTTAGCCAAGCTTCTTTGCAAAGGAGAGCGGCCCTCAGCGCCTTGTGTTATGCCCTGGTCTCTTCCACACCAAACCTTTCTAAAATGAAAATGCAATACTCTGTTGTTCATTGGAGCTTTCCTGCATTGTTTTGATACCAGTGATAATCTCTCTGCAAGGAGACTTAATAAGAGTCTCAAGGAAACTCTGTCACAGCCCTGCTCATCAGTCTCAACTTATCTTCCCATCCGGCAGAGCCAGACTCGACTTCATTTGTTTATTTGTGGTTTGCCTTTTACTCACTCCAGTTAACCTAAGAGTGAGCGATGGAGGAGAGGCAGAGGGATGGTGTCATCATCTTGGCTGCATGAACCCTCGGGACCCAGAAATGTTACCAAACTAAGTCATGATGTGGCAGTTTCTCTGCCATATTTAGGGAGATGTAGCTGCTTGTGTCAGCCTGGCCAGCTGATTGAGATCCAACAAGAACGTCATCCTGCATCTGTCTCCATGGGGAGGTACGCCTGGGCATGCTGGACAGTAGGCTTGCTTCTTCGCTAAGTCATAAAACCTTCGAGGTTTCTGGCAGGCCTGTCCTCATCTTCAATGCCTCAAGAGATCAGAAAATGCTTGTGTAAGAGAGAAGGGTATGCTCTGTGTTGGCCAACTATATTAGTCTGTGTTCTGTTGCTATCTCAAAATGTTTGAGGGTGCATAGTATATAAAGAAAAGAGATTTATTTGGCGTATAGTTTAGAGCTTGTTCAAAGGCATGGTGCCAACATCGGTGTCACCCCGGTGTAGGCCTCATGGCAAAAAAGTATCACAGTGGCAAAAACCATGCAAGAGGAAGCAGTCACGTGGCAAGACAGGAAGGAAGACTGATTCTGAAGGCAAGCTTATTCTTTTGATGTCTCATTCTAGTGAGAACTAGTCAGGGTCTCTCAGGAGCGCCATTCCTTCTGGTAGTGGCACCCCTCCTTCCAAGAGGCCCCACTTGTGCAAGGCCCCTCACCTCCTAGCAACAGCTCACTGGAACCGCACTTGCAGTATATGACCCCTGGGGACTCACTAACCCGTACCCATAACCCCAGCTGCTGTAGGAAAGGGTTCCCAGTCCTCTGAAGCTCACGTGGTGTCTCCATCCCAGTGGACACTCAGGCGCTCTAGGCTTTTCTCTCTCTGGGAATCAGGCCCGGGTACCACATGCAGCTCCTCCAGCTCTTGGTCATTGGAGAGAAGGAAAGGAAATCATAAGGGAAGAATAGTCAGCTCAACACCAGCGTCGCGTCTGTGTGCAGCTCACTGCCGAGAATTAGTCACAATGTTCACGTGGGTACCAAGTGCCAGAAAGGGACCAGTACTCTGACAGACCACACCACACCCTTTGTAGCCCTGGAATTTATAGGCAAGGCAAGAGCAAGCCCTGTGTTTCTAGACCATCTCCATTTGCTTAGAACAGTGCAAGGGAAAGTCGGTGGCTTGTTCTTCACAGGCATGAATGTCAATACCAACCTGATATATGGTAGGACAGATCACATGTCCCCTGGACCCATGGAGCCAATAAGCACCATCATGTGTTCCATTATCCTCTTTGCATATACCAATAAAGACATGATATATATCTTTGTTATAAATTCTAGACCCTAGGACTTCATCTCCTACAGCATCACCTCTGGGGTGGTTTGGCTAAGAATGGCCTCAGTAGGTTCATAAGTTTGCATAGTTGGTCCTCAGTTGGTGGAACTGTTTGGGAAGGATTAGAAGGTGTGGCCTTGTTGGAAGAGGTGTGTCACTGGGGGTGGGCTTTGAGGTATAGAGCATGCTTGCCGTTCCCAGTCTGTCTCCGTCTGTCTCTCTGTCCTTGTCTCTCTGTCTCTGCCTTTCTGTCTCTCCCTTCTCTCTCCCTCTCCCTCTCTCCCCTCCTTCTCTCTCCCTTTACCTCTCTCTGCCTCCTGCCTATGGCTCTAGATGGGCACTCTCATCACACCTTTACTCCACCATTATGGGCTCTAACCCTCTGAAACCATAAGCCCAATTAAAATGATTTCTTTTCTAGGTTGCCTTGGTCACAGTGTTTTATCACAGCAATAGAATGGCATCTAATACAACCTCCCTGGAGAACTATTAATAGCACTGTGATATGACTACATCCAAAGCTATCGCTTTGAAACGATCACAAGATCCCTTCTTTTTGACAAAGCCCTTCTTCCTCACTGTATGGGAATTAATGCCAGGACTGTCTTGGCAGTGCCTCATCTGACTGCGTTTAAGCAAACTCTGTTCGTTGGCATAGCTGTGCGCAGCTGTACATCACTACCAGGAGGCATCCTGGGCCAAAGCCCCTGAAGGCAGAGAAGGCCACTGGGGCCCGTGACTTACTGAAGCCTTTCCTTCCCAGGTTCCCGTTCCCCATGGTGTTCAGCAGCTGCAGCAGGAAGGACCTGGAGGCTAGCCTGGAGAAGGGGATGGGGATGTGCCTCTTCAACCTGCCCGAGGTCAAGCAGGCCTTTGGGGGCCTGAAGTGTGGAAATGGCTACGTGGAAGAGGGAGAAGAGTGTGACTGTGGGGAACCAGAGGTAAGGGGACCCTCTCCGTGGTGACTACTGCTGCCTCTGCCCAGGAGGAGGGGGAGCTTGGGCGAGTTCAGGCAGCAAAATGAACATGCTGGAAATTGGTAAAAGACTAAAGAGATAGCTCACTTGGTAAAGGACTTGCCATGCAGCCAGGAAAACCTGAGCTCCTAAAAGCCCACGTGGAAAAGCTGGGCGTGGTGGTGTGTGCCTGCAGTCCCAGCACTGGAGAGGCAGAGATGTGCAGATCCCAGAAATACACCAGCCAGTCAGCCTCATCCAATGGCGGGGCCCTAGAAGTCCCAGTGAGAGACCTTAGCCGCCCAAGGGTTTTGCCCCCCAAAACCGAAAAAGTCCCACATGGCTACCTTGGACAAGCTCCCCATAGTAGGTTGCTTTCTGGAGTGTTAGCCATGTACAGAGCTGGCTGTATCACTAGGTTTTAACAGGGGAGTGCCTTCTCCTCTGTTGAAGGGTGCTTCCATTCTTGGGGTGATGAGGATGAGAACAATAAAAAACAGTTAGCTCAGAGTTTCTTGGAAAGCAAAGCCCTGGGAGTCTAGCTTCTGAGGGTTCCTAAGTCCCAGGCCTTCCTCTTTGCAAAGCCTGCTGTGGACGGGAAGTGTGGATAAGCAGTGCTGAGCTGAGCGCTTTCCGTCTAGCCGAGATTGTTCTTCAGCCTCCTCTGTGTGCACGGCTGAGGCTCCAGGGGATCCAGCCGTTCAGCTTGTTAGTTCTCGGAAGCAACAAGGAAAAGCAGCCAGCGTTTGCAACCAGTATTTGCTTACTGAACCCTGCTTTCCCGCCAATCTCTGGGAAGTGTCTCATTTGTATAGGCCCAAGATAAAGCTGGTAACATAAACCATGTCAGTCATTCCCCCTCCCTAAATAGTCTTGAGAAAGGACACCAAAGAGAACACTACTACCTAGTGTGTGAATCTAGCTTCTAAGGGCTCCTAAGTCCCGCTAGGCCCTAGACTAACATGAGAAGTGCCCCCACACACAGCTTGGAGGAGATGGCATTCAGAATAAATCAAAGCCAAGGGTTTGCAGAGCAACTAGGGTGGGACTCCTTCCATGAGGACATGTGCCAGCCAGAGTGGGAGACAGGTCTGAGGCAGGTCCATAGGTGGCTTCACAATGGCTCAAGAAACCCGCATCTCAGAGGGCTCCTTGGGAAGGCTGTGCCCAGGAAACAAGGAAAGCTGGGGCAGGAAGCCGAAGCAGCTCATGTATTCCTGTGCTCATCACAGGAATAATAGAATCTTTATCATAGCCTGTCTCCAAGTCCCCGAGGAGGCTTCGTGACAGCGGGGTTGCTCTTACTCTCACAGGTTCTGAGAGAAAATGCACAGCACTTGTGGGTAGGGGTAATCAGATGGAGTGAGGAGAGACAGAAATAGTTTTGTGTCCTTGACAAACTCAGAACTTATCCGTGATAATGGCCTTGTCCACAGCGGTGGTTAATTTTGCTCACAGTGAGCAGGGAGCAGTTGCCGGCTAGGAACCAGTCCTAATTATACTCTTACAGAATGGCTTCAGGATTAGCAAAGGGAAAAGTGAAGCCATCGTGGGATAGCATGTACAAAGGAGAAAAGTCCCTTGGAGGCCTTGTTAATTGCTTAAAGAAACAACCCAATTAGTTTAAATTACCCACATTTCTCAGGAGAGGCCATGTTGACTTAAGATGGTTTGTCTTTGATCTGGATGCCTTATAATTATTTATTAATGCAAGTAAATCGGATGGTTCTTCCTGGAATCATGAACGCTGGGATTTGGA